AAAAGGATCGGTTGTGCAAGGTCATCCTCAGTTTCATAGGGAGTTTGAGAGTAGCCTGGGTTAGTGACCCTTTGTTGTGGGATATTTGTACATGGTGTGAATATATATTGCTGTGGTTTGGTTTAATAAAGAGCTGAGTGACCAATAGCTAGGCAGGAAGTATAGATGGGACTCCTGGGCAGAGAGAGAGAAAATAGGAGATAAATATTGGTGCCCCCAAGGACTCCAGAGAGACACTGAAGAGGTCAGATGTTTGGTACAGAGTAGAGGTAACCGAGCCATATGGTAGAACAGAGATTAATGGAGCAGGTTAATTTAAGTAATAAGAGCTAGTGGGACCAGTCTAAGCTAATGGCCAAGATTTTATAGTCAATAAGTCTCTCTGTGAGCTGGTGCCAATGAAAAAGCAAGCCACCACCCTTTCTCTAGATAGATAAATCATGCCTAGAGCATCCATGGCCTCCACCACACTACACTGACAGGCTTACCTTCCCACACATCCCCAGTCCCTCTGAACACATGAACCTAGCTCTCTTGTGCAAGACGTCTAAAAGCATCTCTACTCCGCTCAACTGTTTCTCACATCCTTGTTCTCTTTTCTTTATGCCTCCCCCTCCTTTCTTGCTACCAACTCTCTGTTGCCAGACATGAGTCCCTGATAATTTTTCCTCCAGAATTCTGGGCTTTGGCTCTTAAAACCCGGACTCTGGATGCAGCCTGCCTCCTTCCCATCTCTTCTAGATTCGACCCTGGCCTACCAGCCGGCACACGTCTACCTACCACTCTCTACACATCAGCTATTGCTGGGTGTGAACTCCGATCTGCCAGCCTCTAGCTCAGGTGCTTTGCCTGTGCCTTGCCCATGCAGAAACATTCCTGTCCCTCCCTGGGTGAGCCATCTCCTGGCCTCACTTCGATGCCAGCTCAGTCAGCTCTTGAGCACTTCGTTGGGCAACTTTTGGGTGTTTTTCTAAAGGCTGGACTTGCCCCCTCTTTGGTAATAAGCAAGTGATATATTGCTGGTAATAAATCTGTCAGAGCTGAGACAGTCTCTGCCGCATGGTGATAGGCAGGCAGGCAGGACAGTGTATCCCGCATGCTCTAAAGAATGCCAGACCATTTTCTTCTGCGTCTACGTCTATGACCTTGGCCAAGCCAACCTTCTCGCTGAGTCTTTGTTTCTCATCTGTAGTGTGAACGTAATAATATCTGTCGGGCCACCTTAAAAGGAGGCCAGAAGGATGAAGATGAAAGGCAGCATTAAGAGCGCTTTGAAAGCCTACATCACCGGGACAGCGCCAGGCATTTATTATCATTACTTTACGGCCCAGCATCTTTCTGACACATCACAGACTCAGGGTATGGGGTGTGGCAAGGGGCTTCTTGCTCTGTTTATGGAGACACACATAAATGCCTTTCAAAGGCTGACTCTACGAGAATTCACGTTATGGAGTGGCGGCGACATCCCTGACCATACATATCCCCATGCATCTTAGTGAATTAAGAGTTTGGTTGGATGAAGAGGCCCATTTCAGTCTGCTACTTTGGCACCTAAGCATGGCCACAAGCCAGGCAAAGCTAGCCATTGGACCTGGCTATCCCTTTCTGGTGAAGAGGAACTTGGGCCCTACCCCTCTACATGGACCAGGTCCTCCCACCGGAGTTCAGGCCAACGACACGGAGAAGAGACAGACACTGGGGACTGACATCAGAAGTGGCAGCGTCTGCTCTGGAGCCAAGGACCCAGATCTGAATTCCAACCCTGTTGCTTCTCACCGTGTGACCTCAGACACCTTAGTTCCTTTGGCTCGTAGAGCTCCTTCAGGTAGAGTTCATTCTTCCTGGGCCACACAGCTCAGCAGACGTCAGATGAGGCAAGGACCTTAATGTCCAAGTCCTAAACAACCATCTTCCACTCCTGTTTATGCATGCATGCATGTATCTATGTATGTTTGTGTATATGTGCTCACACATGTGTGCGGAGGCTAGAGCTCCTCAGACATTCTACACCTTGTTTTGTTTTTTTTTGTTTGTTTGTTTGAGATATTGTCTCGCGATTAGCCTGGAGCTCACCAGTTCAGCTAGGCTGGCTGACTAGAACGTTCCAGGGAACTACGTGTTTCCACCCTCCCAGCACTAGGGTTATAGGTACACACCTAGCCTTTTCATTGCGTACCGGGGATCTGAACTCAGGTCCTCATACTTATGTGGCATCCTTTCCCCAGCTCTCCACCGCACCTTTCCAACAGCCTTTCTGGTGAAGTTCATGTGGGATTTAAACAAGTTTCTCAGGACATTAATAAGCATACTAAACTTCAAAGGTCATTTACCATGTCTGGGCTGGAAAGTCCCTCCTCAGACTCTGATTTTTTTTTTTTTTTTGTTTTGCCTTTTTTTTTTTTTCCCAACTGAATCTCCATGCCTAGTCATTCAGCAGATCCTTGGGACATTAATTTACTGTGCCCTTCCCTGCCAGGAGACTGCAAAGTCAATAGTGACACTGTCCACGAGCTTCTGGTGACGTTTTCAAAAGGAGTAGAAGCCAAGGTCACGATCACAGATGGTCCTTCTTAGCAGATGCTTCCCAGGTTACATTCAAGGAGCTTGCCCAGAACACTGGCTACCCCTGCTGACACCTGCCCCTAAAGACTATCACCTTGCTGAGTGGCTAAGCACTTTGCTGGGAGTGCTGGAAGGGTGGTTATGTTCATACCTGGTATGCAGAAGAGGCACAATATATGTAGGACTAAATTCCTTAGCATGACTGCCTGTCTTCTGACCCCTTCCTGTTGTTCCTTTCCTAGAGTTTTCCATCCCCTACAATACCTCCTTTAACCTTTCCTACTATTTCCTTTCCCGCTTTCTCCAGAAATCTCCATGTATGAGTCCACCAGGCTAGGTAGCAAAAAGCATCGAGGACTGAACACTCTGGTTTCTGCGTGAGCCTCGATGACGGGCACACAGCACACCGCTTCCACAAAGCCCCGCGAGTGCGGGGAGAGTGGCTTTCCTCCTGAGTCCTGGGTAGCTCAGACGCGTAGTTGGAGCAAGCCAAGCAACCATCCACGGGCACCAGGCTGCACAGAGATGCCTCCAGCTGCTCTGGAAGATTGGCTGCAGCTGCCATGCTGAGCTGTGAAGGCACCCTGCAGCTGGATTACATTATGAGAGCCAAGGGGCTTCCCCTTCCTCTGGCAAATCCTACCTAGAGCAGAGCTCAGACTCTGACAACAAAAGGACCAAGGACAGAGTGGGACCACTCAAAATCCCTGTCTCCGGTGAGGCAAGGACATCTGAGATGCAGTTCAATAGAGAGGAAGAAACTACCAGGTTGGGGAGTGGAGCTGTAGCTCAGTTGGTAGAGTGCTTCTCTAGCATGCAAAGAGCTGTGAGTTCGATCCCCAGCACCGCCTAAACCAGAAGCGGTGGCACATGCCTATAAGTGTGCCTTCACCTCCCAGGTGCTGGAAGGATCTGAAGTTCAGGGTCCATCTTTGGCTACAGAGATTGTTTGAAGCCATCCTAGACTACCTGAGGCCCAATGGAAGAGACAATTATCACTAGCTGTCCCAAACTAGTGACACAGAATGAATGTCCTGCCGTATGCCTGAGCTCGCAGGCCACTTTGTTTTATTTTTTCTTTTCTTTTAAACACTGCTTGGCCCATTAGCTCTAGCCCTTACTGGCTAATTCTCATATCCCTATCAACCCATCTCTAATAATCTGTGTAGCACCAGTCTTACCAGGAAAGATTCAGCATGTCTGACCTGGCAGCTTGCTTCATCACATCTGTCACAGGCCACTTTGATCCCAGACATAAAACCACATTCTGTCGGTGATCAGTATTAAGACAAACCCATATCCCAGCCTTTCCTGTAATTGTTTTGGGTATCAAAGCAGCCAAGCACAGAATTTGATCTCTCGGATAGAATATCTGACGTAGATTCTCTCTAACAGGAAAGGAACAAAAAGTGTTCCTGGATTTTCACAAGAAAGGAAAACTGGACTCCCTCACTTAAAACCCGAGCAGCTGCTCTGACATATGTAATCTGAGGTGTGTTTACCCCAAAAATGAGAGGCCCTCCAGCCTGGGCAATGGGGAGGCAAAGAAAGAAGCAAGGGCACTGACTCCAGGTCCCGGCCTTTTCACTGATATGATCAGCATGTGACCTTCATTGCCTCCACAACTTTACTGGAATGATTCTCTTAATGCAGGGTGCAGCCCATTCGGCAGACAGACTGGCCCGGCAAAGTGAAGAGACATTTCTACAAAATACCCAAATTCACATCTCACACCCAAATGGCCCGATTTCAAATGCTTTCTTCTGTAACCTATTGTGTCTCAGAGAGACAACAAAGGTCTGGAAGCTTCCCTCAGGGAAGCAAGGGCAAGGATGTAGACACAGAAGATAAGCTGATAATTAAAGCTTGGAAAATCCATGACATCCCTGGAAACTCCAGGGCTGAGAATTCGGTTTGTTTGCTGATGGTGCAAAGGGACGCAGGTGGGAAGGTGTTCAGGCATGGAGAGCCAGCCTCCAGCAGGCCCAGCCCCTCTTCATCTCCTAAGCCTATCCCAGCTGGTGCCCGTGCCCTGGAATTGTCCTTCTAGCCACATCCCTCTTGCATCAGGCACTCCTATGTCCACCAACATTTTCATGCCATTCCTGGCCACCGCCCTCTCTCCTGAAGAGCTCCTTTCTCTAGCTGCGGAGTTGCTGACCATGCCCCGCCCAGCTCCTGCTGGGACAGACCTCTGGGTGGTTGCCTACCCATCCACCCTTGCTCCATACCAGTGCCAAAGATGCCTCCTCCTGCCTCCCACAGCTAAGTCCTGAGAACCCACTTTTGTCAAACTGCTGTGGACAGCGATTTGATCGCCCCTGGATTTGAATCCAGCTCCACGAAGAGCTTCCCTCTCCTCCTCTCCATAGCCACCTTTGTGACCCCTTTGGTGGCCTCGTCCTCACCTCTGCTGCCACGAGTCTAACCTGTCTCAGTCACACTGTCTCACTGATGACCGAGTGCTCAACACAAAGATGCAGACGACAGAAATGCCGTTTACTGGACATGCGCAGCAGAACTTTCTCCGCCTGGCAGGACAAACCAAGTTACAGAACTGAACCACCACACTGGAACAACCCATGACTTCTCACCAGGAACGTCATAAAAGGGCTTATGACTTTACTGAGACACACCTGTGCCAGGCACTCCCTGGCTATATATCACATGGCTAGCTCCCTTTATTTTTGTCCCCACAATGACTCCACGCTGTAGGGAAGAGGAGCTATGAAACAGAAGCCTGAAAGTCCCAAGTGCCCGGGGCATCAGGTCAACCTGCACCCCCTTGGAGGACATGCTGCCTCCCACAGCCGCGGCAAGCTACCAGTAGGAGACGTTGAGTACAAGGAGGGCCCAGCCGTGAGCAATGGAGAGCTCAGATCGTCCGTCTCCCAAGTTTTACTCATACAAGCTAGTCCAGAAGTGCTCTCCTCGGTACCAGTAAGGAACCCAAGGCTTCACAGACAGCAGGACGGCCTGGGACAGCTCGGAAGAGAAGAGAATGCTGGCCAGGAGACCAGAGTCCACTCTGTCCTTACCTGCATGCTAGCCACTGAGAGGCCTCGCAGGGCCCTCCTGTCTCTGCTTCTGCGTGCCTCTGTGTCAGCAACTCCCTCTGGCATCCCTTGCTGCCCACGACTCCTTCTTCCAAATATACTCCTTTTCTTCCCAGGAAGCAGCACACAGCTACAGGAGGCCCCATGACTTGCCAATCCAGCACTCCAAAATGCCGAGACGCAACTCCGGGGCTTTTTACCTAACCCTCCCGGCTGCCCAGCTTCCTGCCCTTTTCATCTGCCACCTGGATCCCTCCTAGAGCAGTGAGTCTCAGAATCACCTGGGAAGCAGCTTAGACTGCAGGTGGCTGGAATCTACCTAAATCAGGCCCCGTTACTGGCAAGTTACGAGCAGGTGCCTGTGCTGATGCTGCTGGGCCAGGACCAACCTAGGAAAACCACCAAGCAGGAGTGTGCCTGAGGGGGCTTTGAGTGCAGCTTTGAACTTGATAGCTCCTGCCAACGCCTCATCAACTTGCAAGGCTTGATTTCCATGAACCCAAAGGAGGAAGGAAAATACCTTAAAAGGTCTATTGTCTATCAAGTACAAGGTTTGAGGGACTGGAGAGATGGCTCAGAGGTTAAGAACACTGGTTGCTCTTCCAGAGTACCTGAGTTCAATTCCCAGAATCCACACAGTAGCTCACAACATTCTGTGACCCCAGTTCCAGGGCACCTGACATTTCTCTTCTGACAATTGAAGACACTGTACATACATCGTAACAGACATACATGTTCAAATAAATAAATAAATAAATAAATAAATAAATAAATAAATAAATAAATAAATAAATACAAGACCTGATACAACCTGTCTAGGGCCCTGACTGTCATAGAGTCCCACAGTTCCTGTTTTGAGGCAATCCAAACTTGAATGAGACCTTTATGGTACTTCATCCTGTGGGACAGGTATCTTGGCTTCCTAGGGATGAAGCTAATGGGGCTGCCCAGTCTGGAGAAGGCATGTCCCCAAATTCCCCTTGGACCCCCTGTCAGATTTGTCTCCCTCCACCTCTTTAAAGCATGAAGCAGATGGAGCCTCCTGCCCCGGAGGTAGAGCCCTGTATGGCCCTCGCCTTCCTTGGAAGATCCTAGGCTGGGAGTGAAGGCACAAAAAGCAAGCTTGCTGGGCACCAGTTAGATATGTGACGCCAAAAAGACTCAACATCACTCAGTCTGGTGTGTCTTCCGTCAAAGGAAAATACCAGACAAAACCCAGGCGAACCTGTCATATTGTAAGCTATACAGTGGCTCTGTATGGAGGGATTGGTTTTTATTACAATTGCTGTTACTTTGTTTTTCATAGGACAAAACTATTTTCCCAAAAGCAAAGTAGCTTCTCCTGAAGGGATGAATGTCACTTTTTTCCTTTCAAAACAGGATTTCTCTGTATAACAGCCTGGCTGTCCTGGAGCACACTCTGTAGACCAGGCTGACCTCAAACTCACAAAGATCCGCCTGCCTCTGCCTCCTGCTGCTGGGATTAAAGGCATGTGCCACCACTATCCCTTAATGAGCTTTGTACCTCCATGTTCCAGAATCCTCTCCCTGGCATAGCTGCTTGCAAACCCGCCCACCCCTTCCTTTCTCCTGGCTAACCCTGCAGTTCCCTTTTTCAGACAATAGCTGAAGCCCTAAGCCTGATGCCTGATTAGTTTAGTATTCTCTCTCTCTCTCTCTCTCTCTCTCTCTCTCTCTCTCTCACCCTCACAGCACACCTGACAGCTGTTCCCAGCCTTCCATTGCTTAGCCTGCCTAGGAGGTGGGAAAGATGGCTCAGTGGTTAAGAGCACCAGCTGCCCTTCCAGAGTCCTGAGTTCAATTCCCAGCAACCACAGGGTGGCTCGCTGCCATCTACATCTACAGCGGAGTCTGATGCCCTCTCTGGCATTAGGGCATAGGGTTGTACGTGCAGACAGAGCACTCATGTAGATTAAATAAATAAACCTTTAAAAAAAAAACTCTGACTTCTCTTTGTCTCTAATACAGCTTCATCCTCCTGGAAGCTGCCAAGATCTCCAGCTTACCTGCCCTGTTGTTTGAAGTTCAGATGCTAATTAATTTTTCCTCGAGTTTAAACACACAGACACACACATGTTTGTTGAAATAGGAGCGGCGGGGCTGCGTCCCCAACACCCCGGCCGCTTGGCTAGCTCATGCCCGAAATAACAACACACAAACTGTATTCATTTAAGAACTGCTTGGCCCATGAACTCTAACCCTTACAGGCTAATTCTCGCACCTGGACTAGCCCATTTCTAATGATGTTTGTAAGCACCCCAAGGTGCGCTTACCAGGAAGATTCTAGCCTCCATCCATCTTTGCGTCTACCCAGGAGAGCTGAGCATGGCGTCTCTCTGGGAGCAGAGCAGAGTCTGACCTCACTTCCTCTTCCGCCCAGAATTCTATTCTGTTTACTCCTCCCATCTATGTTCTAAGCTGAGGCCAAGCAGTTGGTTTATTATAACTTAACCAATGAAATCAACAGATTGATATATGACACTCCCACATCACATGTTGGGGGAGTCACAGGAACATTGTCTTGAGTCCCCCTCCTTCGTCTCAGTTTTCCCCTCAAAGGCATCTGTTTATCAAATCCTGCCGGAACCCCTTCTCCTTGCCAGGCCCATCAAGTCCCACAGACCACAGATGAAGCCTCAGACAACGTCCTCAGCCCCCAAAGGCTGCCAGTGTTGTTGAGTGACAGCAAGTGAGAGAGAATCCCTTTGAGTGGCTGTGACCTATCATAGGTGAGTTCACCGTGAACACAGAGACGGAGGAGGCCTGTGGCAGAGAGGGCTGCTTCTCATCTTCTTTCTCCTTCTTCCTTAGAACCAGCGCTCCCAACTTTCCGTGTTATAGGTCCACTAGAAAACAGCCTGAAAAACAGTTGGCGTGTGCCGTTTCTTACCGCTTCTTCTCTCCCGCTGCCTGGAATTAAGATGTGATGACCGGAGCTTCAACCACATTTTATTTATTAGTGACTGGGGGGGGGGGCAAGAAAGTGAGAATGAGCAAGAGAGAGAGAGAGAGAGAGAGACGGGGGGGGGCACAGGTGCCAGGGTGTGCCTGGCATGTGAAGGTCAGAGGACAACCTTGTAGAGTTGGTTCTCTCCTGCCACATTTATATGGGTTCCAGTGATTAAATTCAGGTCACCAGGCTTGCAAAACAAGTCCCTCTGCCTGCCATCTGGCCAGCCCTCCAACTGCATTTTAAACTATGAGAGTAGTAACAATCTTGAGATGATAAATCAGGGACCCTGAAGAGGTCTGGATCCATAACAGCTCTAGAGTGGTTCTAAGCCAATTCCAGGCTATCTCAAGAATTCATTAACACAGGAGAAAGCAAACTTAAATGCCAACTTAAAAGCCCATTATTTTGTGGTTACTGACACACGGCCTGATCGTAATCTCAGCTACTTCAAGGCTGCACTGTGAGTGCCTGAGGTCTTGGAGCTCATTAGTAGGGAACAAGGAGCAAGAGAGGGTTTACAAGCTGTGGACTAACTTGATGTAGAGAGAAAAGAAAAGACAAAAATGGCCTGAGAGTAAGAGAGACATTGGAAGCATATTTCCACTGATAGAGATGAGGGCTCCGACAATGCTACGCTACTTCCCTGGTTGTAACCAAATACCTGACAAGAAGCAGTTTGAGAGATGGAGAACTGACTTCGGCCCAGTGGCGGAAGGCAGGGAAAGCTCGGTGACAGGAGCAGCATCCAGCTGTGGTGGTAGGAGGCTGCTTGCTCACATCTGGGAGGATCAGGGAACAAGGAAAGGAGGGTGCTGATACTCCCCCCACCCAGCTTTTTGGAGAGTGGGAGGGCTTGAAACCAGGTATCTGCACATAGCCCTGGCTGTCCTGGAACTCACGCTGTAGACCAGGCTGGCCTTGAACTCACAGAACTCCACCTGCCCCTGCCTCCCCAGTGCTGGGATTAAAGGCATGTGCCACCACCACCTGGCTCATTTTCACCTTTTTAATTCAGTCCGGGACCCCAGCACCCGGGATGGTATCTTCCACCTTGGCCTGGGTCTTCTCTGTCAGTTACAGTTCTTAGAAAACACCCTCACAGGCACACCCAATCATCTAAGTGGTTCCAAGTGCAGTCAGGTTGGCAGTGAAAATGAACCTTCACAGGTGGCACACATGGCTTTAGGTTTGTGGCCTTGGAGGCAACAGGAATACACATGTGTTTTGAAAAGCGTGGGTATGCGTGTACAAAGCTAAAGACACAGAAGCAAGCCGTCAGAGGAAGGCGAGTCCTGGAACTACAAATCTGGGGCCAGATTCATGTAAAGGCAATCACGGATCTGTCCCAATGGGGATAAACCTTGCTGAGTCTAAGTGAAATAAAAGCACAGAGACCGTTTGCTTCCACATCTGTGAAGTACCTGTAAGTCAAATTCACAGGAACAGAAAGTAGGATTGTGGTGGCCAGGGGGTCATGGAAACAGGGCTGGAGTAGGGAATTAACTAATGGGGACACTTTCAGTTTTGCAAGATGAATGCCAGTGGTGGAGATTTCAGAACAATCTAGAGGTGCATTTAAACTGCTAAGACGGTTTGAAAAACCACATACATACATACACACACATGAATAAATAAGCAAATAAAAATTTAGTAGCTTGAAAAATACAGCTGAGAGCCGGGCGGTGGTGGCGCACGCCTTTAATCCCAGCACTCGGGAGGCAGAGGCAGGCGGATCTCTGTGAGTTCGAGACCAGCCTGGTCTACAGAGCTAGTTCCAGGACAGGCTCCAAAGCCACAGAGAAACCCTGTCTTGAAAAACCAAAAAAAAAAAAAAAAAAAAAAAGAAAAAGAAAAATACAGCTGAACCCCCAATGTATACAAGGGGTCAAAATGAGATAGAAGGACATATAAGAGACAGAAGAAGATGTTAATGTAAAGAAAAAGAGAGGGGCCAGGAGGTCAGGGGAGGAGGCTGAGAGGGAGGAAGACCAGCAAGAAAGAATGGACAGCATGCTTCACAGGCTCTTGGAAAGAGTGGTGCCAGCACCGGGTCTCTGAGTGACACCCCAGCACCCCAGGCAAGGTGCCTTGCTAGCAAGCGTCTTGGGTTAGCGCAGAGTACAGGCTAAAAGCACTGTTGAGGCCGATGAAACTGG